ATTACGATTCGGGGGCAAGGACTGGGAGATGAGGGCTGGAAGCTTTTGTTCCTTGGGCACCCAGTGGGTTCAAATCCTAGCCATATTGTTGGGCCATGGTTTCCTCTCCTGTGAAATAGGCATAGCCATGTTTACTTCCTAGGCTAGGGTGAATGTGGGGAAATCAGAAGGCAGGCAGGTGTAAGCTCAGCAGTCTCCCGCGCACAGCTCTGTACAGAGGTGGGCACAGAAGGTGCTACAGGGTAAAGGGGGTACAAGGTTAGGCTGTGAGTAAATTCCCCCCAGAGTTCCCTTCCCAGCAGCTGAGAGGACAGACACAAGGAAAACAGATTTCAGCGTGCACATGGGTTGAAAGCCCTAGGGCACCAAGAACCTCTAGAGGCCTGGGAGCGAACCAAGAGCAGTTGGGAGAAGGCATGAAATGTCCAAATCTCAACCTTCCAACCATCACCAGGGTCTGGTGGGTCTCATGTGGCAGTGGGGGAAGGCGACTATCTCCTTGTCGGGTCAGGCTACCGGGAAGCCCCAGGGGATGGGACTGGAGCCTTTGCTCATAATCACAAGGGAGGGTGGGCCTTTCTGCAGCTCTTATCTAGGCTGACCTTGTGGAGGCTGACCACTCCCAGCGTCTGGAAAATGCGGCCCTTTGCCCTTTCTGAGGCCTCCTTCTCCTAGAGTGGACCCTCAGCACTTAGTTCTACCCCTCGTTCCACCATCTCCGAGTGGTTTTTCCAGCTGACTCCCCAGACCCGTCTCTCAGAAATCTCCACCTGGAATCCCTCAGGCATCTCTGACTCAGCAGGCAGGATTTGCTCTAGGCCCTCTCCTGATGTTGCTAGGCCCAGGACACTGTTGCCCAAGTCCCAGCTACTGCTTACACTCCCAGTCCCCCCACCCCCAACCCTAGCAATTTGAATTCCTAACCCTCCCTCTGCCTCCTCCCTAGACGGTGTTCCTTCCACAGGGTGGGGGAAGGAATCTTCCAGATAAGGGCATGAGGGCAAAGGGACACACCTGGTTTCAGACCCAAGCCCTACCACCAACTTGCTAAGTGACCTTGGCAGATGACCTCTGCTCTGGGAGTTTTTCCATCTGTAAAAGCAGAGCTGAGCAGAGCTCTGAATAACGCTGTTCAGAACAGGAAAGTGTGAGCTAAGGCACAAGGTTAGGACTCCCAAAGGAGACCCAGAAGCCAGAGCTTGCTTTCAGTGGTTGTAGTCTCAAGTAGGTTGATTCGAAGGCACTGTGCCACTTCTATGCCACAGTCAGCCCTATATGTTGACAGTGTGGGTAAAGGTAGCTAGTTGGAGGAGGTACTGGGGTAAATGAGTAATTCCAGTGGCTGGGTTTTATGCCCAAGGACTGTTCTTAAGTTGTTTTTTTTTTTTTTCTTCAACACAGGGTTCGCTGTGTAGCCTTGGCTATGCTGGCACTCACTCTGTAGACCAACCAGGCTGGCCTTGAATTCATGGAGATCTGCCTGCTTCTGCCTCCTGAGTCCTGGGATCAAAGGTGTGTGCCATTATGTCAGCCCTTAGGACAAAGATTTTGGATCAAGGTCTTACATAGAGGCTAGCTTAGAGTACTCATCAACTCCTGACCCTCCTCCCTGTCCGTTTCCAAGTGCTGGCATTATAAGGAAAGTTCTGAGGTTGGAGTCATCTAGATGAACTCTAATGGAAGACTGTTTTTAAAAATATTACGTTTATGTGTATGCACACATGCAAAGGCGTTCCACCATTTGCATGAGAACAACTGGGCAGGAGTCAGCTATTTCCATGAGGTGGGTTTGGGAGATTTAACTCATCAGTGGCAATCACCTTTGCGAGCTGAGCCATCTTACTGGCCCCCTCAGAAGGCCTTATTAGAAAGGTAACTTGAGAGTCAAGAAACTCCTGGGGGCGAGAGAAGGTTCCGTCAAGAGTGGGGGCTTTTCTTTCAGCAGACCTGAGTTCGGTTCTTTTCATCCTCCTGTAACTCCGGCCCCAGACTCCAATGCCTTTAGCATCTGTGGGCTCCTGTACTGACTCTCACATACCCGCACATATACATGCCCAACTTCACTTCAAAAAAAAAAATTTTTTTTTTTTCTATGTATGGGTGTTTATTCTGGATGTATGTCTGCGACACATTTGTGCCTGGTAGGCCAGAAGAGGGCGCTGGATCCCTGGAATAGTTATTGGGAGCTTCTATGTGGGTGCTGGGAATTGAACCCTGGTCATCTGGAAGAGCAGCCAGTACTGATAACTACTGAGCCATTTCCCCAACACACACAATTGCTTGTAGTACCCTCAACAAAGTTGGGCCCCAAACAATGTCTCCCTACCCCAGTATGCCACTTGTGCCTTCATTAACTTTCTGTATCTTTTCCATTGCCCTGTCTCTTCCAGTCTATTTTCAAAAATTTACTAAAATTTCCTGTGGTCTCTGGGATTTAAGATTTATGGGTTCGAGGTTGTGAGAACATTATAGCTTGGTGTCAGAAATGGTCAGGCCTGACACTTGTTTCTAGTCCTTAGAGAAATGTTTCCTATGGGTTTGTGGGCACATTCTAGGTTGCTCTAATGGGGCAGGGAGCCAGGTTGAAGGCTCAGTGGGCATATGTGTTGTCAAGCCCAATGATCTGAGTCAGATCTCTGTTTGGGACCCACGTGATGAAAGGAGTGATCCACTCCACAGATTGTCCTCTGACCTTCACATTCATGCCCTACCCAATAAACAAATAGAATGGGGAGAGGGATTCTAAGTCTGCAGGCCTAATAAATAAATAAATAAATAAACAAATAAATAAGTAAGTAAGTAAGTAAATAAATAAATAAATAAATCCTATTTTCTCTGGCACAAGGTCTTACAAGGCAAATGTGGCCCAAACAGGTCTGCCCAGATCACATGATAAGGAACAGGCAAGAAAAATGTTGGGAGGATGAGGGCTGCAGGACACTGCACAGCAGGGGACCTTTTCCTGGCTCTGACTGAAAGCACACAGAGGCAGTGTTTCAACAGAAGTTAGTGGTTGGGAGGAGGTGAGTGGGGGATAGTTTGGTAGACTTAGTTGCAGTTTACAAAATGAAAAATTCTAGGGATCTGTTGAAGCTGGGTAGGTGCAAGTGCTTTAAAAAAAAAAAAAGAGAAAGAGAGAAAAAGTCAGGTGCCAGTGGAGCACGCCTGTAATGAGGCAGAGGCAGGCAGATCTCTGTGAGTTCAAGGACAGCCTGGTCTACAAAGTGAGTCCAGGACAGCCAAGGCTACACAGAGAAACCCTGTCTCAGAAAAAAAATGTGGTTACGATGACTCAGGCAGTGGTGGGCACACGCCTTTAATCCTAGCACTCAGGAGGCAGAGGCAGGCACATCACTGTGAGTTCAGAGCCAGTCTGGTCTACAGAGCAAGTTCCAGGACGCCAGGACTCCACAGAGAAAAACTGTCTGGGGGAAAAAAGGAACAATTTGAGAAATACAAAAACAAACAAAGGAACGTGGCTAAGATGGTGGCTGTCGATCTAGGATCTAGTTCAGTTAAGAGTGCTTGCCTAGCATGCAGGAAGCTGGGGCCCAAGCTTCAGCATGGCATAAGCTGGGTGTGACTGTGCACACCTGTAACTCCAGCACACAGGAGGCAGAGGCAAGAGGATCAGAAATTTGAGGTCAGCCTCACCATCAGCCTCATAGAGTTTGAGGTTAGCTTGGGATACAGTAAACATTTTTTTTTTAACAATGGCCAGGCACTGGTGCTGCCCACCAGAGCCAGTCTGGGTCCATTCCTCAGGGGTTATGAAGACTGAGAGAAAAGGACAAGGGTCCTCAGCCTATGGGACTTGGATTTCCTCTCTACTACAATCTCAGCTCTCAAATGGTGACTGTGTGGTACACACTGTGTAGTTTGTATGTCCTTTGAGGGGCCTCCCCCACTGCCCCTTATTATTTTTCTTTTTGTTTTGCTTTTGTTTTATTTTTATTTTTTGGTTCTCAAGACTAGGTTTCTCTGGGTAGCCTGGGCTGTCCTGGACTTGCTTTGTAGACTAGGCTGGCCTCAAATTCAGAGAGATCCACCTGCCTCTGCCTCCAGAGTGCTGGGATCACAGATGTGTGTGCCCAGCTTCAGGTCACTTCTTAAGGAGAAATGCCCATTTCTCAATTTCAGCCAGGCTCCCACTGCCCCAAACTTCTTCCCACTTTCAGATAGCTGACTTCAAGTCTAAGTTAGCCGCCTTGCTGAACAGCTGACGGCTCAGTGTGTTGGCCCCCGGGGGGGGCTTCCAGTCTGGCTACACTGGGGAAAGGCAGAGTCCTTTCTCTGACCACTCTGTTGGATGTGAGGGGAGAAGGATGAAGACCATCCTTCATGTTCACCGGCCTGCAGAGTCTTGTAGGACCATGGGAGGAAGTGGCTCTTAGTTGTGTACCACATAACCCTTGACGGGACCAGTCTCAGTCTCCATAGGTTCTTCTCTAAAGTTTGCATGAAATACTTTCCTAAGGGGATCCCTTACAAAGCATCATGGGAACACCAGCAGTTAATGGAGAGGGGCTCCTAGCTGAAGGACATTGACTCCACTTACCAGTACAGAGCCCCTGCCCAGGGATATCTCAGTTCCGCCCCTGTGCTCTCTTTAGCTGGGTCAGCCTGCCCTGGATAAGGCTGCACCTTTCCTTTCAGGAAAAGACTGCTGCCACCATTCCACATCTACTGGGCAAAGGGGGGGCAGAGAGGAGATATGCTCGTTTCCCTTGGCCAGCTTTAACTTCCGAAGTATTCTCTTTTTCTGTGAACATTTTAATGAGGGTTGAACATAAAATAGAAAAATAGCATTCTGATTGCTTTTTCTTTTTAAATTTTCTTGAGACTTTCATACAAGGCAATGGATGGATAATGTTAACCTGCTAAAGAAAACATACTGACCACAGAAAAAGGCATCTCTAATACCTATGTCTTTGAAATATCCTGTCAAACTCTCAGGGGTTGGCTGGTTTACTTTCCTTTTGAAAAAAAAACAACTCGATTTAAAATCCTGCTGCTGCTGGACACTAGCAGGACATCTGAGGACTGTCATCAGTTTCAGGTGATGCTGTCTGGAGCCGGTGTTGCTTAAGGCAGCTGATGAGGTGTGTTGCATGAAGGTATATACGTGCTTGCTTCTCCTTCCAAGGGGTGTGGGCAGCCAGAGGCTACTACCCTACAAGGGAGTCGTGCTTATTCTCCATTGACAGGTAAGTCATCCAGCAGATGGGCTGGGACCAGGCCCCTGTGTCCACTATACTCACCGTAGTAGAATCCCTTATCATCCACAGGCCCATAAACTGTGACTACATCTCCAGCCCTCAGCACCAGCTTGCCCTTTGGCCCCCCTGCTCTCCCATCCCTGGGGTTATAGTCCAGAGCTGCCATCATTGTCTTTGGGGTCCACAGTGTGGGTGTTCTGGAGTTCCCCTGAGGCATGAAGGATCCCTGGGAGTTGGTTAGACCCTTCAAGTCTTCATGTTGAGCCTCAGAATGCAGGTGCCCCTGAGATAGCAAATGCCACCTCCCATCAGTCTGTTCTGTGCCCACCTCTGCCTCAACTATCAGGTGTCCAGGGATTTTGCCCACCTGTCCATTACACTCTCCGTGGTAGAACCCATGAGCATCCCGGGAGCCCCACACCCTTAGCAACTGCCCTTTCTGGAAAGCCAGCTCTTTTTCCAAAGCTTCGGAGTTGACAGGCATTACCGGAGGGCTATGATCAAAGAGGGCCACAAAGACCCTCACTGAACTGTCGGCTTCTGTCTCCAGCTCCTCAGGGGCCCCACATGACATCTTAATGACTTTGCTGGTTGGTGCTGGGCATAGCACTGAGGTAGGTTCAAGAAACTGGCACTCTCTCTTGCTTCCTGGAGTCCCCTGTCTTTGTCCACTTTGGGACTTGCTCTTTCTTTGCTCTGGCTTCTCTGTGTACTGAGAATCCAAACACAGAGCCTCCTCCTCCAAAATGTGATGGAAGTCAGCTGTGTGACACTGGGTTGAGCCTTGCCGGTGAGGAGGGAGCATCTGAGCATATTGCTTTTGAAGAAGGGCCTTCTCAAGGCCAGGCTTCTCCCAACACGGCACTTTCACAGGTCCAGTCTCTGGGGAGAGACGGACGAACTCTGGAGCAGGACTTCCACTAATGCCCATCTGTGGGGAGTGGACTTCCTCCAGCCCAGGCTGGCCAAAGAGCAGAGGTGGCCTGTGGTTCTGGGGAGTCTTCTGAAAGGCCAAGTCCTTCTCATAGCCCTTCCAGGCCTCCGCGGGCCCCCGGAGGAGGTTGTTTGCCCTATCTGAGCTCAGGCTGGGGACTGGTAAATGCTTCCTTGAAGGTTCTTCAGGGGCTGCTTCTAGAAACGTAGCTGGAGGCTCCCCACAGCTTCCAGGGGTATGAGAGCTGGACTTGGCACTTGGAGACGCCTGTAACGCCTTCTGCTGACAGACAGGGAAAGCAACTCTGCAGGCAGAAGGGTCCCCATCTGTGTAGCTAAAGGGAGGAGCCTCTAGGAATGGGTAACAAAAGAAACAGTCCTCGGGAATCTGAGCTGGCACTGAATCCAGAGACTCACCGTAGAGTGACGTGGTTCTCACGGAAACCTTCTGGCATGCCAGGGGAACCTGAAGCTGAGAAAATTCCAGTAGGGTGTTCCCAGCAGTGGCATCAGCGACTTCTGTGACCTTGAACCCATCCACATAGACAGCATAGCCAGTGACCTGCACTCCATTGGATGACCCGGCCGAGTCAATGGTCACAGGGAGCCAACTGACCACCAGGAAACCTGGAGAGGCATGGTGCTCCACCAGCACATCCAGAGGAGGGTCAGGGGGTCCTGCTAAAGGGGTATCAAAAGTTATCGTGGAGGACATTGTTTCCCAGAGCACCGGTAGCAGGTCCTGAGGTAGCTGCACCCCCACCCTCACCCGGTAACGTGTGCCAGGACTTAGGCCGTGGAGAGTGTATCGGTTCACACCCGAGGGAGTTAGAGTATGCTCTTCGTCTTCAAGGTACACCATATGGGGGTACCTATTGCTGCCAGAGGCCCATGTAATTGTGGCAGAGGTAGCTGTGACATTCTGCAGCTGTAGTTGCACAGGACCCAAACAGAATACTCCTTTGGCCTCCAAAAGGGGCCTGGAGAAGTTCTGCTCCTCCGTGCTTGGTTTCAAGCCCTGCCAGCAGGCTTCTGTCTTGGTTTTCAAACGTTCTACTGCTATATCTGTCTTAGAGTCTGCCCTTCCTGCTTGGCACAGGCCTCTCTCCAGAGATCCCTGCATTTCCTCACGTAAGAAGCTGCCTTTCAAGGCTTTGCTCTGCTCAGTGGGTAGTGCAGTGGCAGGACCTGCATCAGGGGACGTGGGGAATAGGTGGTTCAGGACGGGGCTTCCTGAAATTGGTTCCACTAAGTTAGACGGGACTAGGCCTCGCTGCCCATTCACAAGCTCCCCTTCATAGAAGCCATCCTCATCCACGTCCCCACAGACATAAACATAATCCCCAGCTGTGAGGGGCAGTGCACCTTGACAATGCTCATTAGGCCCTTCACAGGGACTGTAGTTAGTTCTAGCCAAGAAGACCTGGAGCTTGTGAGTGGTGGGAGCCTCTGAACTCCTCATTTCTGGGGAAGTGGACACACTGTCTGGTTCCAAGTCATCCATTTCGCTTGCGGTGTCCATGTCCAGAGAAAGGCAAGATGGCACTGTAGCCCACAAGGACTCTACCGAGGAGGAATTGGATTGTGAACTGGTTTTCTTGGCTTGGGGCCTGGAGTCCAGAGGCTGACTGGTAGGATTTCTGTCTGACACTTGGGGGGCGCCAGCTGGTTCCCCGGGAGTAACTGGGTTCTCCTGCTGGGAGAGAGAAGCGGGAAGTTGTACGTCCGTGATAGGCAACGACAATGAATGTTCTTCAGACTTTGGCTTGAATTTGGGCCTCCTGCTACCCCTGGCTTGGGGTTCTGAAGCTTGGGTGGTCTCCAGTGTCTCTGAGGGGTGGCCAGGCTGACACTGCAATCGCTGCGTTTCTTTCCCAAAGGCCCAAAGGTCACTCGGGGCGTTATTCTGGTAGTGACGCAGCTGCTCTTGCCTGTCTTGTGCACAGCCTGCTTGTTGCAGCAGCTGCTCCGCCGGCAGGCCAGTGGCTTCGGGTTCCTGCCTCTGCCTCGCACGGCTTTGCTGCAGGGAAACACTGCTGTTCTCGTCTGCCACCTTCTTCACAGAGCTGGCTAGGGCCTGCAGCCGTGCGTTCTCCTCTGACAGCCTGGCGCCCTTGTGCAGCGCGGCCTGGAGCTGCGCCTCTGCCTCCTCATAGCGCCGCTCAGCGGCGGCTGCCTGTGCGCTCAGCTCCTCGCATTCCCGCCGCTGTGCACCCAGCTCGCGCTCCAGCGCCTGCACCTGGTGCCGCGCTTTCTCTGAGGGTGCGCTGAGGCTGCCCGCTTCCGCCTGGGAGCCAGCTTTACGCTGCTGTAGGGTCAACTGTCTTTGCAGGCGCAGCACTTCCCGCTGAGACTCACGCTGCAGCCGGTCCAAATCATTAATGTTGCACAATTGTGTGCAGGTGGCGCCCTCTCCAGGATGCGAGTAGCTGCCAAGGTCCGCGGCGACGCGCGCCTGCAGCAGGTGACACTTCCGCCTCAATGCTTCGATCTGCAGATCTTTGGCTTGCAGCACATCAGCCTGTTCTGACAGGTCCTGAACACGCTGGTGAGCAAACCCTTGGCCCAGGTCCAGGCCTCCGAGGCTCTCACCCGGTATAGTAGCGCACACGGCCCGCAGGTTGGTCTCCTGCAGCTTGCGGGCCCTGTCTTCAAGGCGTTGAGCAAGATCGGTTAGTTCTGCGTGCTTCACCTTGAGCCATTTCACTTTCTCATCGGCCTCATCCGAGAAGCCTGAGCGCCGCAGCTGCAAGTTCTCTTCGCGCAGGCCACAGCAGCGGCGAACTAGCACCTGCAATGCTTCGGCCAGCTCTGAGTTCTGCCTTACCAGGTCGTGGTAGTCCAGACCTGGTGGTGAGGGGGTCAGGGCTTCTTCGCAGGGCTTGTTCTCGGAGCTTTCTTCCTGCAGGTCACCAGGGTTCCTGTGTATTGATGGTACCTGAAGCGACGGCTGGGGACTGGAGGTGTCTGGGGTAGAGGCGCTGGTCGAGGAGGCCCTTACCTCAGATTCGGAAGCCTGGGAGCAATTCAGTGTGTTGTTCAGTGAGCAAGAATGTGCTGTTGCCAGGGATTCGAGGGAGCTGGCACGCGTGGGCAGTAGGTCGTTTGGAGAGCAAACCCGGCCACCACTGTTGAGGCTTTCGAGGGATCCGAGTCGACGAGCAGGCTTTGGGCTGCCACGAGTGTTGCTCTGGGCTTCTAGGGGTGGCTCTTCCAAGGAATGTGTGATTTGGAGGTCCGCGGGTCCCGGGAAAGGGGGCTGCCAGCGGAAGTGCTCCAGGATGTATTTAAGGAAGAGCTGGCGCTCCAGGTCTAGCGCCGCCTGCAGATGGCGGATGCGCGCAGCTTGCTCGCCATCGGTCTCCCAGCGCAGCAGTGCCAGCACTTCCTGCAGGCGACAGCGGCATTGTGCCGCGGGGTCTTCGGACGCCCCCGAGCGGCCGCAGTAACCGCGGTTCACCAGCTCCTGGGCCAGCTGGCGCTGAAGCTCCCGAGCCTGGCGCACTACACCATCGCGCTCCTGGTGGAGCAGCTGCTGCAGCTGCCGCAATTCTGCCTCCTTCCAGCGCAGCAGCTGCCGGATCTCGGCCTCACGTTCGCGCTGCACCTCATCCTGCAGCTGCCGCAGCTCCCGGAGGCGTCGTGCCTCCCACTTGGAGCGCAGATGGTCAGCCAGCTGCTGCCGCTCCTGCTCGGCAGACTCCCGCAGCTGGCGCGCCTGGTTCGCGAAACGCCGCCGTTCCGACCGGCCGCGCGCGCGCTCGGCCTCCAGCTCTGCCCGCAGTTTTTCTAGCTCTCGCCTCTGCTCCTCCAGCACTGCCGTCGCTGGGCCGGGGCTGCCTGGCTTCTTGGGCGACGCGCGGCCACCACCCAAGGGGGTGGGTGAATCCTTTGTCATTGTGGCGGCAGCCGGGCGAGAGGCCAGAGATAGCTTGGTAGGCCAGTTAGCCAACGGCCGCCGCCCCCCGGCCGCTGCCAACCGCCCCGCGTGCCTCTTCCGGCCCCCTAGGAGCCCTCCGCGCGCCCCTTCCGCCTTGGGGGAAGTCTCTCTTATAACCTGCCCTGTCTCCCCAGACGCAATACCTTTCGCCTCTCCCTAGACTCCTGAGACCCCTTTCAAACTGACCTCTGAACTTACCTGCTTCAGGGCGTTTATGACCCATTCCACTCTCTCACCAGCAGTGTGCAGTCCCTTTCAGAAGTAGATTCCCAATAGGGAAAGAGGCCAGGAGCGTGGGTAAAAATGGGTTATATCCTGGGCATATTTCTGAGCTCACACTTTATCTGCTTCAGAGCTTTTGTGACCCATTCCACTCTCTCCCCAGCAGTGTGCAATCCCTTTCAGAACTAGATCTCCAGTAGGGACCCTTTAGATGATTGCTGCTCCTGGGCCTGGAGAAAGGGGTGTGGATAAACTTGGGTTATGGTCAGACCTTGCCTGCCCCTTCTAGGGTTTCTGGTAGTGTACTTGAATTAGGTAACTGAGAACTAACTTATTGCAAGATCTGCGTAAATTTGTGGGTTACACACTGTGGCTGAAACTGTCCTACTCTTCCAAGAACTCCTGCATACTAAACCTTTTCGTACATCAACTGAAACTTTTTTTTTTCTAAGACAGGGTTTCTCAGCGTAGCCTTGGCTGTCCTGGACTTTCTTTGTAGACCAGGCTGGTTTCGAACTCACAGTGATCCTCCTGTCTCTGCCTCCCCAAGTGCTGGGATTTCAGGCATGCGCCACCATGCCTGGCTTCAAATGAAAGTTTTTTTTAAAAATTAGTTTTTTTGTTTGTTTGTTTGTTTCGAAACAGGGTTTCTCTGTGTAGCCTGGTTGTCCTGGAACTCCCTCTGTAGACCAGGCTGGCTTCGAACTTAGAGATCTGCCTGCCTTTGCTGGGATTGCAAGAGTTGGCCACCATGCTTTGCATCTGAGCCTTTTTGACTCAGCAGGATGACAATGACTGAGGGTTGGTTGCATACACAACCTCAAACATGCTAGGCTAGGTAAATGTTATACCACTGACAGGCACAGCCTTAGTGCCTCTCTCTCTGTCTCTCTGTCTCCTGTCTATCTGTTTCTCTGTCTCTCTCTCTCTAGTGTGTGTGTGTGGGAGGGGTAAAGTACTAGAGACTGAGTCTAGGACCTCAGGCATGCTAAGCAAGTATTTTACTACTTGACTATTATCTTCAGTCCTCAGTGCTTTTAAAAATTTTAAGATATTAGCCCAGTGTGGTGGCACACACCTTTAATTCCAGCACTCAAGGAGGCAGAGGCAGGCAGAGCACTATGAGGTCGAGGCCAGCCTGGTCTATAAAAGGAGTCCAGGACAGCCAAAGCTACACAGAGAAACCCTGTCTCGAAAAAGAACTTTTAAAGATGTTTTATTATTTTGTTCATTTATGTGTATGTGCCTACCTGAGTTTATGTGTGCTACATGCATGCCTGGTGCTCTTTGAGGTGAGAAGAGACCGTTATATGCCCTGGAATTAAAGCTACAAGTGGTTTTTAGTCACCATGTGGGTTCTGGGAGCCAAACTCATGTTTTCTGCAAGAGCAGTAAGCACTTATAATCCCTGAGCCATCTCTCAGCTCCCTAAAAATCATTTTTAAAAAATATTGCCTCACTCTGGCCTAGAACTTGTTTTGTCTATCAGGCTAGTCTAGAACTCACAGAGATCTTCTTGCCTCTGCCTTCTAAGTGCTGAAATAAAGGTATGCACCACCATGCTTGAATGTCAAAATTTTTAAGTTTTTTGTTTTTGACGGTGGTGGTAGCATTTTGTTGTTGTTGTTGTTGTTGTTGTTGTGTGTTTGTTTTGTTTTGAAGACAGGGTCTTGTTATGTCCTGGCTGGCTTGGAAGTTGCTATATAGACCAGGCTGGCCTCCAACTCACAGAGATCAGCCTGTCTCTACCTCCCAAGTACTGAGATTAAAGGTATGAGTATTCCACTGTACTCAGCAGTTTTCTAAAACCGTATTTTGAACCAGGATCTTGCTAAATTGCCCAGGTTGGCCTTGCATTAGTGACCTTCCAACCAAATAGCTGAGATCATAGGTGTGTGTGCTTTTCTTTTTAAGATTTACTTTTTTTTTTTTTTTCCATACAGTGTTCTGCCTGCATGTGTGCCTGCAGGCCAGAAGAAGATACCAGCTCTCACTATAGATGGTTATCAGTCATCATGTGGTTGCTGGGAATTGAACTCAGGACCTTTGGTAGAACAGCCAGTGTTCTTAAACTGAGCCATCTCTCTAGCTCCCTCAAACCCTGTTTTTGTCCTCTCGCCTGCTGCTCACGTTTTCCTGTCCTTTGGTATTAATTTGGTAGCTTTCTACTCTGAGAAGCTTTTGTGTACTCTCCAGGCTGGGCTTGGAGTTGCCAAGACACTACACCCATGTGGTGGACTTGCTCACTCTACTTACAGCTGCTTTATTTTGAGGAATGGGTACGTCTGATATGCCTTTGTGTCTCTGCCCAGGGTGGATTCAGAGGAGGTAAAAATGGAATGCCTTTCCTATGCAAGCTGGGATAAAGACCTAGGAGGAAGAACATAAGAGGGTACTGTCGGGCTGGAGAGATGGTTCAGAGGTTAAGAGCACTGGCTGTTCTTCCAATGGTTCTGAGTTCAAAATTCCCAGCAACCACATGGTGGCTCACAACCATCTATAATGAGATCCAGTGTCCTCTTCTGGTGTGCAGACACACGTGCATACAGAATACTGTGTGAATAATAAATAAATCTTAAAAAAAAAAAGAGTGCATTGTCCAAAGCGGTCTTCTGGCCTACCTAGCTCTAACACTCAGGTACCACCTGTCAGCAAGGCCCTGGAGCTTTAGGGTGTGCACTGGCTGGGCAGTGGGGTGTTGGGAAGAGGCCTCAAGTTGGGCAAGGAGTGAAGGCCAGTCTTCAGTCATGTTGTTGGTAAGGTCTGGTCCTCAAAGGAGAGACATTAGGCTCTCCTTCCCCCAAAGAAAAATAAGACCCCAAAATAAATAAAATAAATAATGCTGGGCTAAGGCAGCACACACCTTCAATCCTAGAACTGGGAGGCAGAGGCAGTGGATCTTTGTGAGTTTGAGGCCAGCCTGGTCTACAGATTAAATTCCAGGACAGCCAGGGCTATATAGAGAAACCCTGTCTCAGAAAAAAAAAAAAATAATTACATAATCACATACACAGCTTTCTTCTAGCTATTATTGTGGGGAACTCTCCTCCCATCTGCCTCCTTCCTGTTTTTCCAGGCCCTGGCATTAAGTGACTTACAATAAACACACTAAGGAGTTGGTTGGGAGGCACTCTGTGAGTTCAAGGCCAGCCTGGTCTACAAAGGGAGTTTAGGACACCAAGGCTATGCAGAGAAGTCTGTCTTGAGAAAAAAAAAAAAAAAAGAAGAAGAAAAATAAAAAGAAACACACAGATAACTGACTTTTTTGTATTTAAAAATTCTGTCAGAAGCTTCTTTGGAGTGCCTGCCTAGGAAACACCTGGGACATTGGACATCTTCTTCCTCCTCCTTCTTCTTTTTTTAAAATTTCTCTGTAGAACCCTGGCTGTTCTAGAATCCTGGAACTTGCTCTTTCGACCAGGCTGGTCTCTAACTCACAGAGATCCACTTGTCTCTACCTCCTGAATGGTGGATTAATGGTGTGCACCACTATGCCCAGTTATGTCTGGGGCTTCTAACTGCTGTGTGTGCTCAGTATCTGGTCCTGTGACTGATTTCTTTCTTTCTTCTTTCTGTTTTTCAAGACAGGGTTTCTCTTCGTAGCCTTGACTGTCCTGTACTCACTTTGTAGACCAGGCTGGCCTGCTATACTTATTTTTAAGACCAGATTCCCCTGAGCCTATAGAAAATACCTTTGGGAAACATGAACATGAGAATTTTCAGAACTGAAGCAGATGTGGTGTGAGGGTTGCAAGGGAAAAACTAGTGATGGCAATAACTAGTGATAGTCTTGGATTTGTCCTGGGTTACAAGAAAAGTTGTCTGTATGGAGCCCTTGGATGGCACGGCTTTATGGAGAGGATCCAGGGCACCTGGCAACCAGGGCTGAGTAGTTAGGCTCTTATTTCTTGGAGGTAGGGGTGGTTTTGCAGCTTGTGTGACTTACTGCGGCCTGAAGGAAGAGCCTGTCACCAGTGGGAGGATTTAAAGTGGATCACCAGAGTCCCTACAGTCACCAACTGGTATTGCCAGCCATGTCAGAACCCATTTCAGCATTTCAGATGTGTTCCAGAGGTGGTAGAATGTCTTTCTTGGTCTCCACTCTGTTCCTTTGTAGGACCCAGGACACCACTGTACCCATGATATATGAAAAAGAATTAAAAACTCAGAGGCAGGATTAATCCAAGTTACTGTTTTCTCTGAGTCTCAGTTCCTCATTTACAAAATCAAAAAGAGGGCTTGGCTTGGTGGTGCATGCCTTTAATCTCAGTATTTGGGAGGCAGAGGCAGGATGATCTCTGTGAGTTGGAGGCCAGCCTGATCTACGAAGCGAGTCCAGGGCAGCCAGGGCTACACAGAGAAACTCTGTTTGGAAGAACAAACAAACAAACCCAACCCAAACAAACAAAAAAGAAAATGAAAGAAAAGACTATATTCAGACTTGATGCTGTGGGACTCCAAAGTTCCCTGGAGATACCACAGGACTAGAGGAATGACATTAGGAACTGAAAGGCAAGAGAATGTCCTACATGTCTCGGTGTGCAAGAAAGTGTCACGTACCACATTTTAAAAAAGACCCTGGTTTAAGACAGACGTAGTGGGCCTGGAGAGATTACTCAGTGCTTAAAGAGCATTGGCTGCTCTCCCAGCATGATGGCTGACAACTGTTTGTCATTATAGTTCCAAAAGACCCAATGTCCTCTTCTGGCTTCAACAGGCACCAGGACACAAGTGGT